AGAAGGCAGCATATCCTGTGGAACTAGGGTTATAGGCAGCTGAGAGCCACCATGGATATTCTGGGAACAGAACACAGGTCCTCTGCAAGAGAAGTAGATGTTTTTAATCCTCTCAGACAGCTCTCCAGCTCCTCAAATTCTGTTCTTAACCTCAGTGGGCCTCAACGAAGCCCAGAAGCTTTTGCTTTTTCATAAGAAGGCACTTCCCATTCCAAGTGGAGCAACGACATGCAGCACAGTCTACATGTGATGGGATTCTGGCACTGTGACTTCGAAGGTTGCTAAAATCTATGCAGCTACTTAAAAAGCTATTTTATTGTATGTGTATAAATGTTTGCAGGCATGTATTTATGTGCACCACATGCATAAGTGGGCATACAGTGCCTGAAGAAGTCTCCTGGAACTGGAGCTACAGATGAGTCTAAGTCACCATGTAAGTGCTAGGAACGAAATCCAGGTCTTGACCCCTGAGCCATCTCTCCAGATTCCTCTCTAGCTACAGATGAGAAGACTGGGAATAAGTTACTGGCATTCGAAAGGATGGGGCTACACGAATGGGGGCATCGCTTGCTAGACACAGTCCTCACATTTCATTTATGAAGCCAAAAAACTTCATAATCACTATATCTGAAAGCAAAGGAACAAAAGGCACAAGAAAAGATAGGGGAGAAAATAAAAAAAGTGTAGCTTTAAAATAGGGGATAAAAATTTACAGCACCTCAGAATGTTAGGGCCAGGTCCTGTTGAGGGGTGCTTCACTAGACCATCAACAGTGTCTTTATCTTGACTGTCAACTGGAGAAGACTTGGAATCACCATGGAAACAACTATGTGGACAAGCTGTAAGACACTATGTAGATGAGGCTCACCGAGGTGGCAAGGCCTCCTCCACATGTGGCTGTGTTTAGGATTGGATAAGCAGAGGAGGTGAGCTGGGCACCAGCACTTGCCACTCTAGCTCTTGACTGTGGACACACTGCTGCCAGACCGTCTTTGCCACCATGGCTGTAGCCTTGTTATCTGTAAGGTAAATAAACCCTGCCTTTCTTAAAGAGCTGCTATTTGGAGGTATTTTGTCATGAAAATGAGAAAAGTAATTAACACAGAGCAATTAAAAGTTACCTAATGCCAGACACGTAAGTCCCAATGAAGATAAACAAAAATGACGTCATTCAACAATGACGGACTTCACAGTAAATTTTTCAGTGAGGGTGACATACATGAAATTCCAGAGGAAGAACTGAAAATAAATAATAGTCCAACAAAATAAAAAACAGCATTAATTTCTGAATTGAAATTTTGGAAATGAAAAGTTCAGTAAGTTGATAAAAACATCCAAACCCTCACTCACAGATCAAGCAGAAGCTACACTATCAGGGATTTAAAGTAGGACAGATAAATTAGCAACAGCCAGATAAAAGAGATAAATTAATAAAGATTATAAACAAGACCTTCAAGATGCAGGTGCAACATTAAAAGACAAAGCTTACAAATCCTGGGAACAGAAGGAAGAGTCATACAAACTACAGACCAAGAAAATACACTCGGTAAAATCACAGCCAAAGCGGGGTGTAGTGCAAATCTTTAGTCACAGCATTCACGAGGAAGAGGTAGATGACCTCTCTGAGTTCAACACTGGTGTGATGGTCCACATTGTGAATTTAAGGCCAACCAGAGCTATATAGAGAGACCTTGTCTCAAAACAAAAGCAAGGAAAAACAAAACAAAACAACAACAAAAAAAACTTTTGGCAAAAATTTCCTAATCTATAAGAGACATTCATCAAAACATAGGAGGCATTAAAACACCAAACAGTTAAGCTCAAAAAAGAAAGCCCCAAATCATTTTATATTTAAAACCACTAAGACAGATAGGTAGCAAAGAGTACTGAAAGCCACAAGAGAAAAGGACCAAGTCACATATAGAGACTCCTCATCAGAATAACAGCACATTTCTCAACAACAGAAGCATGGGATGATGTTTGCACACGTGGAAGGACAACAACCGCCATCTCAGGTTACTGTGTGCAGCCAAACTCTCCTTGACAACTGACAGAACAGCATTCCACGGTGATGACAAACTGAGCGTATTCCTGACCACTAAGCTAGACAAGAAATTTGGATATTAATTAAATTAACTGTTTATTCAACTCACTAATCTTTTTGTGTGTTTCATGATCATATATTTACATTTTGCTAAAATAAGTTTTCATATTTCCTGGTTCTTTTGTTTGGTCTTTCCTAAGGGAATGCGCTCTGATAAAGTGGGAGGAGCCTGCTTCGTGTCAGGCTCCTGATTGGCTGGTACCATGGGAAAATGATTTCAGTCCTCATTTTTCTGAGCATAAGAGGGTATTCCTGAGTGCCAGAGGTGATCGTGTGCTGGTCAGTGGACTCGGCATGTGGATGTGCTTGGTCAGTTCACCTAGAGACTGCAGATGACGCTACCTCCCCTACTGTGAGCAGCCGCGTTAGGCTTACAGTTCCTTCTTATAACTGCACATCAGGGGTTTGTTTCTGATAATAATTACAGAGGCTTGTCATGGTTTGAGTGTGAACGAAATGCATGCAACAGGCTCATCTGTCCGGTGTTTGCTTGATCCCGGCAGTGCTGTTGTTGGAGGCTGAGCTAGCTGAAGAAAGTACATGACAGGAGCTGTGCCTCAGAAGATTGTATTTGTGTTGGGTCCAAACCTCCCCACCCTGCCGTTCCCTGCCCCTCACAGTGAGAAGCCTCTGCAACACGTTCCTGGAGTTAACTACTACCTAGTATAAACCACAAATTCTGTCCTCATCAGAACTTCCTTCAGTTTGTACTGATGGTAACTGAGGCCTTGGAGCTGGGTGTGACACTTAAACCTTGACATTGAGCTACATACACACCAAGACCACGATTTCTGTGATTGTCAGTCACAGGACAACATAGATAGAACACAAGATGGCTCATTCTTGTCACCAGAAAAGGCACTGTTGAAGCACCTACCTTGCCTTAGAGACATCTTGAAAATGGCTCAGGGTTTCGAAGTGACGGGAACCTCTGGTCATTCAGTCATTCTGCTGCAGAATGTATCACACCACCAAGAGAGAGGGTCCAGTGGGCCGGGAACATGACTGCATTATCATCATGAAAACCAAAGAGAAAACATAAACTTTTGAAAGGGTGCCATCTTGACTGAAGGGTAATCAGATCAAAGCAGAGCTGTTTCCTGTGCCAGAGTTCCATACTGGTGACAAGAGTTCTAGAAACACACAAGCAGCTATCATGGGTTTCGATCTGTGTCACGACTGCCAGCTGTGGATGGAGGAGTATCTCCCAACACACTGACCTTTCTATGGGAAACTCACCCGTATTCCCACCAGGGAGCTGGAGAGCAAATATTTATAATGACTTCCCATTGTTTTCCTTACCTTTTGGGGGTCTGTATATAGGGCATCTAAGGAACTAACTTCTAAATATTCCAAAGCTTGCATTTTATTTGGGAAAAATATACTTACATATGTTCAACCTATTCTCACCACCATTTTGCATATTCCTTCCATTAAAAAAAATTGTACTTTTTAAAAAATAATGTATAGGTGTGTGTCTGCATGCGGGTATGTGCTCCCAGAGGCCAGGAGTACTGGAACCCCTGGAACTGGACTTACAGTTGTGGCTACCTGACCTGGGGAGAGGAACAGAGTGTAGGTATTCTGGAAGAACGAAAACGATTTCTAATTGCTGAGCTAATTCTGCAGGCCCCCTTCCACTCTTTAGTGCCCACGACCTCTGGGCTGTGGCCGATTTTCTGTTTTCTTCTTCAGCAAAGGCTATTTCCTGCTTCTGGCTCCTTTCTAGTCAAAAGCTTATCTACATTTCACTTAATCCTTCCTTTGAATCACAGCTCCTCTGAAAGCCGGCGGGCTACAAAGAACTCTTTCACGTCCCACAGTGAAATATCGCCACCTACTGGCTATTAAAGGTTCCTCCAACAACCCTTATAAACCTATCTAAACTCTGTAGAATTAATTCGTTATGTAAAGGACAAGACATCCACGATATAAAAAGGTCTAGCAAATAGTATCTAACATATCTTACGCCTCTGGCACATCTAAGCTGTTTCTGAGGTTAAAAAACATCTTAAAAACAGCAGAGCCAAGCAAGTCTATTGGACGAAGCTTAAGCTTCCGAGGCGGTATGAGGGTCAGAGCCTGGGCATCGCGCTCCCCTGGCGGGCACCTTTCGCGACAGGGCACACCACAGGGCTTCCATATGCACTCTGCGGCACAACCGGAGCCCCCGCAGCCCGCGCAAACGCCTAGCGCTCTCACTAGAGCTCTCTGCGCGGGTTTCCCGTCCGTCACACACGCCACACTGTGGCAGACGTTGTGTGGGAAGGGATGAGCATGCCCTAGACAACTGCCGGCATGGAGAGGCATCCGCGGTTGGCACTGTCAGCGCGATTATCGTCCAGGTCTCATGGCATCCGTTTCAAGGGGACCCGGAGAAGCTCAGGGGCTTTGAAAGCCACCCCTCCCGTCGTCCTTTAGAAGGGTCCCCAGGACGGTTCTGCGTCAAACTTGTAGTTTTAAGACTGGCAAACTGCACCCGACCAGACAAAGAACTGCCCCAACCCACCTAGGTATCTCCCGGGCAGGGACGCACACCAGCTCAGACCGTAACTCGTCTGTCTCCTAACGCCTTCAAGCCTTCCCCGCGCCAAGCCCCACTCGCGGGGGATCCGCTTCTCTCGTCCCGATTGGCCAGCCAGACTGCCACTCCAGGTCCGCCCTTCCTATCGCTAGCGCTTCCGAGAGACTCGTGAGTCGGTCCCGCCCACCCACCGGCAGCGGCGGCCGCTGATTGGTCGTGGCGAGGGGGCGCCTCCGCGTGAGGCACGCTCGGCTGAGGCGCGGAGCCCGAGGCCCCGAGGCGCGAGGACGGCACGAGCCCCGCCGGCCACGCCCTTCTCCGCCCCGGCCCACGGCGACTCCTCCCCTCCGCGGCTTCCGCCCCCCGGCGCTGATCCGGAGCTGGTGGCCGTTTGAGCTCGTTGGTCCCGGGATTGGTTTTTAGGTCCGGCCTCGGAAGACCCTACAGGGTGAGGAGGCGGGGATGGGAGCCCCGGGGTGTCGGGCGGACCGCGGCCAACGGCCGCAGGCGAGGGGTGGCCGGGCGCCTGGAGTGGGGCGGCACCGTCGGGCGACGTCGGCGGGGCCTGGGCCTCCCTGCCGCGGCCCTCGCCCTGAGGCCGCCCCGGGTTCCTCGAGGGCCCAGCCGCGGAGCGCATCTGCGGGAGTGGCCATCGGGAGCCAACTGCCCAACGCGGCCGCTAACGCACGCAGGAGTGCGGGAGTAGTAGCGGGGCGCGGGTCGGAGGCTGCACGGGGGAAGGGGGTCTGCCTCCCGGGGAAGTGATCCGAGGGGACCCGGCTCAGCTCATCCGCCCCCTTGAGCCACCCAGGACAGAGTTAAAACCGGGAAGCACCGCAGGTAGCGCCCACGAGGCGGTAACGCGCCATCGTGTGTGAATACGGCACGTGGAAACTCGGTAATCTGAATAACTGGACGTTTTCATTTCAAGGGTCATCGCAATGAGAAGTTCAAGAAACTTCCATTTGTGGTCATTCAGGATTAAGTTTACTTCGTGCTGTCATAGGTAGATTTGTGTCACGTGGTTAGAAATAGTGTTTTAATAACCGCGATTATTTACCACTAAGGACATAAAGATTGTTGTTACCGGTGTATTTACCAAATACCAACAGTGTCTTATTTCCCTCGTGTGGCTATGTTTAAATGCTAATTTTCATATTAGAGTCTTGAACTTTAACATTAATGCCGAAATTAATAAACCATGCCAAATGCAGACGTATTTATAAGATAAGGATTATTAATACCAAGAATATATGCAAGTAAAGTATGTTATGTGGCTGAAATTAAATCCTAAGTGTTCAATTGTGTCGTTTTGTTGATGGCCACCATACAATAATTTTAAAAAAGGATTACAAATAAGTAACTTGTATAAATTTAAAATTTTAGTGATAAGTATTATTTTAATATCTGATGGTTGGTAAGGAAGGAAAAATGGAAAATGTGATTTCTGTGTTCAAACTGATAAGATTTCAAATAATGTTATAGAAGACTGGTAGTTCGCATATTTAGTTTGGACAAACATTTGTAGATAACCCTCATAAATTAAAAGAGCACATAACTTTTGTTTCCAGTATTTAAAAATTATTTATAATAATTTGAAACATTTTACATGTGTGAGAGAGTACAGGGACTGGCAGCTTTCAGGAGTTGCTTCTCTCCTGATGGAGTTCTCAGGCTGGAGGGCAAGTGCCTTCACCCCTGCACACTATGGCCCCCTAAGGACTGTTTTAAATACTTCTCTTTTTTTATGATTTTAGATTTGTCTGTTCAACATAAATGAAATACCTAGTACTAAAACTTATAATATTTAACTTTTGCAATTAAACATACTCTTATTATTTAATAGAAATAATTTAACGTGGAATTGAACTGATCCACCTGTGGACTTGTGTTTGGGAATTGTTTTATATGTATAGGACCACAGTTTTTATTTCTCAAGCATGTTGACTGTAGTGCTGTGTCTAAACTAAGCGATGCTCAGAATCTCCGCTGACCTGTATTGACCAGTCTGGAACTTAACTAACATTCACAGTGTTTGGGCAATGCTGCAAAGATGTAGTGCACCTTGTAGAAAAGGGGTTTTAGGTCTTGGATTATTAAACTGAACATTTTTTTAAGAATTAAACTTTATATATTGTTCAATTTTATAATCTAAGAAATGATGGCGGAGCTCTCTCTTCAGACCCATGAAATTTAAACTTTATGATTTGTTAGGATGCTATAAGCTAATGAGATATGTATTTCAGTATTTTAAAGATTTTTTGAGATTGTTAGTTGAATATTTGTCCTGTGATTAGTTAATTATACTATCCTGACATATCTTAGTGGGTTTGGGATAGTGATTCTTTTTCTTCTGAAATTAATTTAGAAAGAAATCTTTGTAAGTTTCAAAGTTTAGAAAAAAAGATTTATCTTTGAAAGTTGAAGTAAAATATGTTTAAAAATGTTATAAAACTTCCAGTTTACTGTTTCTGTTGATTTTGTTTCTCTTTTTCCCTTTCCCATAAATGATTGACATCATTCTTGCTCATTCTATTGCCCAGAACCCCTTCATCTTTTATTCCATTCCCTAGGTTAGTGAACTAAACATTTGTGGGACATTTTGGAATGTGAATACATATCTTAAAGTAACTGAAGACATTGAACCTGTAACCCTCAATACGTGTGCTAGCTTACACTCCTGTGCTTCTCTGTAACCCTCATTACGTGTGCTAGCTTATACTCCTGTGCTTCTCTGGCCGTTTGAGTAACTCTGACTGATTGTGGAACATTTTAGGATGAACTTTAAAATACAGCTTGTTTTAGATTTACTTACTATTTCCCAGCTAGTTCTGGTTCTGAAGGAATTATGCATCAGCTAGTGGGTATGATGTGGAAGTCAGGGCTTTGGTCTCTCCTAGTGCATTACACATGTCTGCACCATTTTAAGGAGGTTTTAGGATAAGAGTACACTATACTTACTAAATAGAAGATGGGATCGGTGATGTTAAGGAGGTTTTAGGATAAGAGTGCGCTATACTTACTAAAGAGAAGATGGGATCGGTGATGTTCCTCTGTTTCTTAGTCCTGCGATTTCAAGTTTCATTTTTTAAGATTTCTTGAAATGCACAGTCTTGCATATCTTTGTAGCTATTCTGTAGTAAAAGGAGTGTTTTAGATGTTGAACTGATTATTATTTCAACATAAGTGTGTAAACAGTCTCTTTAGCATACACTTTAGTGACAATACTAACCTAAAATAGATGTGTGTAGGTAGCACCAGGCATAGACTGGCTTGTGGAACTTAGTAGCCATTGGAGCTAGCTGTGAGTTACAGTAAAAACAAAAGTCCCGTTTTTACATTGACTTTGACACGTCAGGTAAAAGAAGAGAAACTATATGTTGCTTTTTTAGTCAGTAAGTCACCTCTGTATGGTAGCAGTCTTCATTAAAACAAGTATCACTTTCCTAGGCTATGCATAGTCTAAGTGTGATCGTTTGTGTTTGATGTTAGAATCAATGCTGTTCCAGACTAAATTGTTGAAGACAACTGATTTTAGAAGCTGAGTGTTGATAGGAGTTTGAGTTCCAGGTCTTTTTCAGTTGCTAGTTTTGCTATCTTACAAACAAGTATTATCTTTTTGCTTTCTTACATATATTGGTGTTGGTCCAAGGGCTTCTGGCATTTTCTTTCTACAGTATATTTAATAATGCTATAGAGGCAGACTCCAGAGTAAAGACCATCTTAAGTGGATATCTTTGAGTATATCTAACCTGAATTTTAAATATTCCAAACTCTAAATTTTTGTGTACCATTGTAGAACCTCAATGTCAAAGCCCACACAAGTGCATCAGAAATACTGTATTAAAAAAAAATCCTTCAGTTTCTATGGATGTAGGGTAGCAATCATCTTTAAGTTTGCTCCTATCTGCAAGATACTCATAATACCTCTGCTGTCCCCAAGCCCAGAATTATTTGAATCTGAATTAGCATCTAAACACTTTAGATAAGGAATACTAAACCTGTATTGGTTAAAATTGTTTTAAAGAAATGAAGGGAAAACATCGAATTATTAAAGAAAAGTTCAAAAGATGGTCAGTTAATCTGTCTCATTCATATCTTTAATCTTTAGAATTTATCAGTTCTTTTACAAGAATGGGTTAAAAATATTAATTGGATTTGAAGTCACATAAAATTTATTTAAATTATAGTTAAAGACACACATTTAGTGCTAATACAGGTTCAAAATCTTTTTCTTGATAGCAATTTATCTATATTTCCTGTTTCTTAAGTTAGGAGACCCTACTAATAATAAAGAGAAACAAGATGGTGTCTATTATTCTGAAACAAGCAGAGGAGAAGACTTTTACCTATACTGTAGTGGAACTTTTTTTTTTAATTCTCATATTACATTTCAACTTCAGTTTCTTTTCTCTTCTCTCAGTCCACCCATCCTCTCCCCCTAAGATCCTCTCCTCCTCCTTTCCCTTCAGAAAAGGGCAGGCCTCCCCTCCCAGGGCTGTCAACCAAACAAGGCTTATCAAGTTATAGTAAGATTAGGTGCATTCCCTCATATTAAGGCTGGACAAGGCAATCCAGCAGGAGGAAAAGGGTCTCAAAAGCGGGTAACAGTCAGAGACAGCCTCCATTCCCGTTGTTAGGAGTCCTACAGGAATACCAAGCTACACAACCTTAACATGTGCAGAGGACCTAGGTCAGACCCTTCAGACTCCCTGTCCTTCCTTGCTTCAGTGGATTCTTGGGTCCCTTTCTTGTAAATTGTAGCTTTATTATGTAAATAACCCCAGCACTTGATGGGCTGGGTCAGTTCAAGGACAGACAACCTGGGCTGAGTAGCAAGATTCCTCGCCTGCAGAATTTTCATATACACGTTTAACAAAACAAATATTCAGACTCAAATGATGTTCATGGGGAGATATTCCATGTCACGAGAGAACATTGTTAGTTTTTAACCACTGCTCAGACTAGAGAGTTTTTTTTGTTTGGTTTGGTTTTAGTTTTTTGAAGTGTTTGCATTTGTTTGTTTGTTATTTAATTTTCGAGGCAGGGTCTCACTATGTATCCCTGACTGGCTTGGAACTCCCCAGATAGACCAAACTGCGCTCATACTCAAAAAGATCGGCCTCCCTTGGCCTCCAGATTGAATTAAAGTTCTGTCGACCAGATCTAGGGTATTTTAAAGATGTTTTATGATTATAAATTATGATTATGATTTTATGATTATATTGAAAAGATGCATGCTAATTTCTCTGTAAGTTGGTTCTTGAGGCACTGGCCATCATTTGCTTGTGTATTTTGAGTCCGAGTTTCTTTACTGACTGGTAATTGATGTTGTTTGGTTAGCCACCCCCAGACACCTACCACATTTTCAAATATGAGTTCTATACATGGAAGTCAGGTTCAAACACCTTTCTGATTGAGCTATCTCCCTAGCTCATTTCTTAAATATGAAAAGTAAGGTCTTAAGGAAAGTGGGAAAGTAGGCAGTTTGATGCATGGGACATCAGTAGGTAAATGTGAGGGAATATTTGCATAGACAGATACCTAATCTGTCTCAGGACTTTCAAATGGACAGGAGTGTCCTCCAAGGCCATATCTCAGTGAAGTCATGAAGTCATCTTGCTTTCTTCATTGACTGTGCATCATGTGTTAGGGTGCTGTGTGGTGCTAGGGAAGTAAGTGTACAGTTTAAAGTCTGGTGGGGCTGAGGAAGACCAGGGTAGAGGTAGAAGAGTGGGGGATTGGCCATCACAGCACTCGGAGCTGGCTCTGTGATAAAAGTAGATATCAAGGAATACCTAATTTAGATTGGGGAGTTGAGATAATAAATAGTAAGAGCATCTAAGGAGGTAGGGAAAGCGCATGGATCAGAGGACCTAAGGGCTGATGGAGGAGAGTGTGGCACATTTGAGAAGCCAAACAGAAGTACACATTGGCTTTGTTTGGGCCACATAAGATGAAGTTGGGGAGGGAGACTCAGCCACTTGAGAAGTCCATGGTGACTGTCTAAATTGGTTGGAGTGTGTCGTAAGGAACAGTACGGTGAGGCATACTGTAATCCCAGCACTTGGAGGATTGCTGTGAGTTGAAGGCCTGCCTGGGTTGCAGAGGTAAGCAAGAGCCTTTCTCAAAACAAAACCAAGCAAAGAAACCCTGCCTGGAGGCCTCTCTGAAAGAATACACGGAGAATTGAGAAAGAAAAGTATGTTTTCACCAGTGATTGCAATTTTTAAAGTTACTTGTAAATGGCCCACAATTTTTATATGCCCATGTAAAAAACTATCAATGTATATTTGCTTATCTAAAAAAAATCCAACATTTGCAATTGGTATTATAGTAGTCTCTAGAGTATTCTTTGAAGGTTTTCTGTATTTAGTACAAAGGAATGATGTTCTTTTATTTCAAATGTTTTCATTAAATTTGCTTTATGTGTATTTTGCCTGTGTGTACGTATGTGTATCACATGCATACTCACAGATATCAGAACAGAGCATTGAATCCCTGGAACTGGAGTTACATGTGTGGTGCTGAGAATCCATCACGGATTTACTGGAAGAGCAGTAAGTGCTCTTAACCACTGAGCATGTCTCCAGCTTTGGGGCAGACCCTAAAGGGGAGTAGTGAAGGTTGGTCACCTCACCTGCCAGCCACGTTGTCCTTGGCTTCATGCAATCCAAAGAAATGCTCCCAGCATCCTGGAGCTGTGTTGTGGACTTACAGTTATTTGATTTGTCTTAGGAATTGTAGCCATGAATGAAGAGAACGCCAATGGAACAAACGGCTGCGGCAAAGTGCGCACTGGTACTCAGAATGAAGCGGCCTTGCTGGCTCTGATGGAGAAGACTGGCTACAACATGGTGCAAGAAAACGGTCAGAGGAAGTTTGGTGGTCCACCTCCAGGTGAGGTTTGCTGATAGGTGTTTAAGTCTTTAACACAGTTATTTAGATGAGGCATGTGTCTCACAAACATCCCTACCAGTCTTGGCTGTGATTTTGAAAGAAATCATGCATTTATTTAAAACCTTGTTCTTGTTAAAAAAGTGATTGAGAAATAACATGGTTTGGAGTGAGAAATCAGGATTCAGGGCATCAGAGAAAAGTATACTCAAGGCATTAAAGACAAGTTATTTGGGGAGAAACTTGAAAGAGCAGTGAGTAGTGGCCTCGTATTTATTATGTAACGAGATTCAAAAGGCATGGATCTTACCATTGAACCATGCATTTCTTTGCTCAGAATCTCCAAATGAGCAAATAAAACGCTTGCTTCCACTTCCTTGGTTGCTGCATCACCTGTTACTGTTCTCCATCTACAACAGGCGGGAAGGCATCCACATTCCTTCTGCTCCTCTCTCTTAGCTTCATTCAGGTCACTGCATAAGCTATGTTCTCAGATCCTCCTCTTTTCTTATATGGCTGTTTTCCCCACAGCATTTTATCATTCACACACTGTCTCCTGGAGTTTTGTTAGAATGAGTTTTACAAGGAAAGGAATTTAATTTTTGTATCCTCAACACTTAGAATACCGCTTGCCATATAGGTGGCTGATATAGCCAATTTGTTGACTGAGTAAATGACTCAGCTATGAATATAGCTTTTTAGAATTTAATTTCCAATTGTTTATTTTGTTTTCTCAGGTTGGGAAGGTCCGCCTCCCCCCAGAGGCTGTGAGGTTTTTGTTGGGAAGATACCTCGGGACATGTATGAAGATGAGTTGGTTCCTGTGTTTGAAAGGGCTGGGAAGATTTATGAATTTCGGCTGATGATGGAGTTCAGTGGTGAAAACAGAGGCTATGCGTTTGTGATGTACACCACTAAAGAAGAAGCCCAGCTAGCCATCCGCATTCTTAACAATTATGAGATTCGACCAGGGAAGTTTATCGGTGTGTGTGTTAGCTTGGATAACTGCAGGCTATTTATTGGAGCAATTCCCAAAGAAAAGAAAAAGGAAGAAATCTTGGATGAGATGAAGAAAGTTACAGAAGGTGTTGTGGATGTGATTGTTTATCCAAGTGCAACTGACAAGACCAAGAACCGTGGCTTTGCATTTGTTGAGTATGAGTCTCACAGGGCTGCTGCAATGGCCAGGAGAAAGCTGATTCCAGGTAAGATAGTCTTTGCCTGGGTTACTTTACATATTCATCCCCTTGTGAATATGGAAAAACAACAGTAAGTGATAGAGCATTATTAGTGAGATATATAATGCCACTTGAAGAGGAATGAAGAATTGTTTTAATGAGGAAGTAAATTAAATGACTATAAGGTATGAGAAATTGTTCCTACAAAATAAGTTACATTTGCTAATTACTGAATATGTATATACTTTAACTGATACTTTAATATGTATATTATTTTAACTTTGTTAATTATGTTCAATAAGAATTGAGAGAAAGCATTATTTAATTCTAACAGTAATTATTTTTTAAAGTTTTGCTTGTGTTACCAACTCCTAAATTTTGTCATAAGTTCTGATTAGGTTTGCTTTAGTAACAACTTTGGTGTGAGTGGGAGTACGTGGTTAGTCAGATATGTTGATATATGCTTGAGTTTCTTTGAGAAATTATTTTATGTAGTTCTTTAAACTTGTATTCTTTGCTTTAGTTAACATTAAATCAATTCATGAATTTTTTTTCAGGAACGTTTCAACTTTGGGGCCACACCATTCAGGTAGATTGGGCTGATCCAGAGAAAGAAGTTGATGAGGAAACCATGCAGAGAGTTAAAGTTCTCTATGTAAGAAATCTAATGATTTCGACTACAGAGGAAACGATTAAAGCAGAATTCAATAAATTCAAACCTGGTGCAGTGGAACGAGTAAAGAAACTTAGAGATTATGCCTTTGTTCACTTCTTCAACCGAGAAGACGCAGTGGCCGCTATGTCTGTTATGAATGGAAAGTGCATTGATGGAGCCAGTATCGAGGTAACACTGGCAAAGCCAGTGAATAAAGAGAATACTTGGCGACAGCATCTTAACGGCCAGATCAGCCCAAATTCAGAAAACCTGCTTGTGTATGCGAACAAAGAAGAGAGCCACTCTAAAACTCTAGGCAAGCCACCAGCTCTTCCCACTCGCCTCAACGGTCAGCATAGTCCCAGCCCCCCTGAAATTGAAAGATGTACTTACCCTTTTTTTCCTGGAACAAAGCTTACCCCAATTAGTATGTATTCTTTAAAATCCAATCATTTTAATTCTGCAGTGATGCACTTGGATTATTACTGCAACAAGAATAATTGGGCACCACCAGAATATTATTTATATTCAACAACCAGCCAAGATGGAAAAGTACTTTTGGTATATAAGATAGTTATTCCTGCAATTGCAAATGGATCCCAGAGTTACTTCATGCCAGATAAACTCTGCACTACGCTGGAAGATGCAAAGGAACTGGCAGCCCAGTTCACGCTGCTTCATTTGGGTAAGTTTAGAAGACTTGATGTGTTGACATTAGAGGATACTGTGCTAGATTGATTGTACAGTCATGATTTGAACTCTAAATGTCAGTAGTGAGTTTGTACCTTTTTCTCAGTTCTCTGAGATCGGAGCAGAAGGACCACAAGTTCAAAACTCATAGTTAATTTTCATGAGACTTGGCTCCTATATAATTTTCCTACATTTTGCTTTTCAAGCACTACTTACCGAGAGGGAAGTTGAGCTTTGGTTATGGAGTTCAGGCCCCTTTTCATTACTTAATTGTTTCATAATAACTAATTATCATTTGATAAAAATTTTGATGTATGCTACAGAATTTGTTATGTGAACCAATTTTTAATTCTGTCCTTACATATTTGGTGAAGTCTACACAATGAATGTTTGGTGGAAAAGGTTAGAGATTCATAAAAATGATAGACTTTTCATGTGGGTCATGGCTTTACGCTCACCAATCTGGAAATTTGTCATTACTACTCATGAAAGGTAAAAAGCATCATTAAGAGATGTTGATGACAAGTCTCTTCAAATTTCATGTTTTTAAAGAACCCCATTTTCTTAAAAGTTGGAGAGATGATTAAGAATTAGAATATATAAAACATGCTTGCTTGGTAGTCTAAAGAAAAAGACATTATAACCCTCTGGGGCTGTCCTTATCTGTATTCTGCTTACAACATACTTCTATGGAGAAAAGGGTTCCCCTCAGTTGACACATAAGGTTCTGCATGCAGTCAGGAGCTCTTCATTAAGCCTTTTCACTCCCTCTGGGGGCTTTTCAGTTCAGCCCGTGGGCTATAGTTCACTATTACTGATCTAGGAAAAGTTAGGCTAGTCCTAATTTGTTTTGTTCAAATATAAAATTAGCTGTGTGTCTTAGTTATGGCTTCTGTTGCTCAGATAAAATACTAAGGCCAAAGTGACATTGGGGAGGAAAGGGGATGTGTGGCTTTTACACTTCCACATCACAGTCTGTGAAGGAAGTCGGTGCAGGAACTCAAACAGAAAGCTGGAGGCAGGAGGACTTGAAGGGATGCTGTTTAGGGGCTCAGTCTGCCTTCTTACAACACCTAGGGCTGCCAGCCCAGGTGTGGCACCATTCACAGTGAGCTGGGCCTTCCCACATGAGTCATTGAAGAAAATTACCGCAGGCCAGTTAGGTGGGATATTTTCTCAACTGTGTGTGTGTCTCTTTCTAAGAGTCTAGCCTATGTGAAGTTTACATGTGTCCAGCCTGTCACATTGTGACACAGTATTGTCCATACAGAGTGCACAATTGAGGTTAAAAAATTCCAAAACAAATGTCAATGTTTAGAGTAAGTTTACAGTTTTGTGTTTGGCTCTATGCATAGCAACACCAGGTTGTATACATTCCACATGCCACAAATTAGCCACCTGTTAAAGTGTGTGTGCACATGGCTTAAATCACTCATTTTGGAGTTTATTAGTCTTGTATCGGAACTGTTAATTTAAAAATATAGAAAACTTTTCATTTCTATGTATTTTTCTTGTTTGTGTTCATCACTAGAGAGAAGAATTAATAGATTATGATTAGTATATAACTGTTAAAAGAAATTGGACTGAGATGCCTTGGTAGGTGCATGGCCCTGTAGTAAATCCTCAGACTTTCCAAAAACATTACAGTAAACGCTGGAGCATATTTGGGCCCAGTAACCAGGTCTGAGGCTCTGCGTAGGGAGTGCTGTACAACTGTGCTTATTGTGCTTGACTAAAGTGTAAATGGAGGCTGTTGAAAACACTGTGCAGGCAAGCAAAGAACAGGAGACAACGGAAGTGGAAAGTCTAGACGGAATCTAGAAAACCTTGGTCAGAAAGCATAGGTGAGGCCTTTATGAAAGAGCTTCAAGCAGGGTCAGGCAGTGTGCATAGACAGGAGGTGCTGTGTGCCATGTGGCTGTTAGGTAGTAGTGCCCTGTCTTGATCTTTCCTCAGTAATGTTGGGTCCTCAGGGGCAGATATTAAAAGGCTGACACCTTCCTTCCCAGTACTTTTTATCCATAGGTAGAAGTGAAGTATTTTATGACACAGTTGAGATGGGTTAGTTGGTGGCAGCGATGTGTCCTAGAGAGGGTTGGTGAGGTGACGAGTGTTCTTATTCTCTTCTCAGTCTGCTCACCACTGGTTTTTTTTCCTGAGGTTTTGAGGGATTGTTACTGAGTCTTAAGAGTGCTTCAAATACTTCTTTTTTTTACTACATTAATACATCTTTTGGTTATATTTTAAAAAGCATTTCAGAAATGTAATTTTGCAGATAGTGTCAGTTATTTAAAGATAATTTATTTGGACATAGTAATTTCTCTTACGGTTTGCTATGATAATCCTTTTTTAACTCTGCTAGTTTCTTTTCTTTTTCAGTCATCATTATACAGTTTTATCTTGGTTATTTTCTTTAAATGACATTGCTAAGCCAGATACCACCAAGCTAAACCTAGTTTGATGTAGTAAGCTTTGACAGTCTTGTGATGTCTTGGATTTGCTATCCCCATATTTCAAATTTGAAAACTTGAATGGGAACTAAAAGAAGTTCTGTGTTTCAGTGACCATATTTGTTTTAAAGAAAAGATGCTGTCCTTTAGGAATAGTCAATAGCTGAATGAGTTTTAGAAGCCATCTGTTTGCTTCAAGTCACTCCTGAGTCAGAGAACCTCGTAGTGATTATAGATTTTTGTCCCTTCTAAAGCCAAGTCTTTTCTGATTGCTTTGGTAGAAAGAAAGCCAAAAGGGGGTTAAGAGTTAATCTCTAATATAGCCCTCTTTATTTTTACCTCAAAATTAGAGCCTGTCTTCTACCTTCATGTCAGAGTAACCTTCCTCATCTCAGTCACCCAGTGGGAGAAACAGCAGTGCATTCATTCACTTAGTTTTAGAAACACAGTGCTTATTTTTAAAAACTACAAATACTTCCATTTTATTTTATGTGAAATAATTTTAGTGAGTTTACCTGTTTTTGCATCTATGTTTTTGAGACAGGATCTTGCCCTGTTAACTCAAACTGTCCTTGAAATCACTGAGTTTAGTGGGTCAGATGCAGATGTGTATGTTAGGATAACAAGTTTTATACTTAACGTTGGGTCAGTGGCGACGTTTGAGATTATTGCGTATCACTTCTTTTTAAATGTGACTCTCTTTTGAACCTGGACCTGTCAGTATTGCAGTTGCTTTTCTAGATGGTTATGCTTTTTCAAAAAAAAATTGCTAGAAAATAAGATGATGAAGAAGAGAGATAGCTAAGCATGGTGCACCTTTCCTGTTTCCCTGTGTGATGTTCACTGATGACTGTAGCAGGGTTTTGATGTTCTTTTATGACCACTTGCTGTTTTTAAAAACAGGGATGAGATTTTCTGCTGGAAAGTACCTTGTGTCACTTCAGGTCACGTTGGGAAGGTTTGCTTTGGTGATTTCTGCAAGATTTAAGAATTGAAGGAATCGCGAAGATGTGGCATAAGTTAATTGAACACTGGTTAGTTTTTCTGTTTGAAACTCTTATCTGGCTTGTGTGCTGCTGCTTTGGCTATGACCAGTGAAGTTCACAGTCAAGACAGGCCTCTTGCAGGTCTCCTGTGTGTTACAGGATACTTTCTCAAGCTTTGGGAGTTAAAGTTCTGCTCTCTTAAGAAGAGTTTCTGAGCAGAGCGAGGAGCCTCGAGATGCCTTTCTACAGGCACATCCTTAGAAAAGCTGCATGGTGGTGGGCTCACGGCTGGGAACTCTGGTCAGGTTTGCTTTAATGATTTCTAGCAGATTTTAGGAAGAAATTGAGGAGGTGTGGCATTAGTTAATTGAACTTTCATTTATCTTTGTTTAAAACAATTTACATGATTACTTTCTTGACTGTACTTTTCCTCTGAGCAAGTAAATTTTTCTAGATAATTTTAGTTTGTAGAAACATTTCATGTGTCAGTGTTCATGATTTTAACGCCACTGCTTTTCTCAGCATTTAATCTGCAGCTGATATGTATTGTGTTAACATTTGCTATGTTCCACAGGGCTTATTTTTTCTATTGTTTAATGGAATTTTGTAAATACTTTATTTTCTGTCTTCACATGTAAATTAAGGTTTGATTTCTCTATGTCACACAATTTTGGTTAGATGCCGAAGGAAAAAAGTGTCACTACTGTGAGTCTTTGACCCGAAAGATAATTGGTGCTTTTTTTCTCATGAGCTGTTATTTCCAGATTGATGGGCAAAATATAAAACATAAACAGCATTTTAGATTTAGAAAATTTGTCAATAAATTGTTTAGAAATAGAAAACTTTAGTTTTTTATTAAATAATTTTAATCGATATTTAAGCTAAATAAATATAAAATAATGGTTATATTACAATGGAACTTTTCTTTATAGAGAAGAAAACACTTTCAGGATGTATTCCTTCTAGATTTAAGGGAGAGCTCTTTCATACTGTCTCAGGCCGATACTTAAAAGAGCTGAACTTGATTTAAAATGCACCTAAGTGAGAAGGAGCCTCAGCTTTAACTTTTCAGTTTTCACTTTTTACACAGCTCACCTTCACATGACCAAATAAGACCCAAATTCCATGAACTCAACTATGTGTCTCTGACCCTTGAAGAGGGACTAGTTCTTTTGAAATGGATGCACATATTCCAATTGGAATTTTCTTTTTCTTTAAGATTCTTTGATGACCTCATATTTATCCTATTCTCATCTTGATAGCACTTATTTTAATTAATGGGCCACAAATACTTAATTTAATGTGAATGAAGCTGCTTAGTGGAGAGCTGAAACAAAAGCCCAAGAGTCCTGCCACCCGGCATCAACCTTGTGAGTGTCATCTGGTCTCAGACTTCAGTACCTTCACCTCTGCAATGTCAGGCTTATTTGGTGGACTCTAGGGATTGTTGTATTTTATTTTATTTTATTTTATTTTTTGAGATAGCTTTGGTTAGCCTAAAACTTGATATTGTAGACCAGACTGGTCTTGAACTCAAAGAAGATCTTCCTGCCTCTCCC